CTCAAAATACCCTAAAGTTTTCTCAAAATACCCTATAGTTTTCTCAAAATACCCAAATTTTGACCATATTTTACAATGAAGTATTTATTACTACTGCGACGTTAATATGGTATTTTAACATGTGCTCCGGTCACAATAAGACTTTTTTTTTTCTTACCAGCAACTAGAATTCCGACGAGCTGTATTTTTTTTTGGAAATTTCTTTTATCGTCTTGAACTATCAAAATTATTTCTTCCGCACATTTACCCGATAAGATCCTCCTTTGAGCTCCATCTTTCTCCTTCAACATCCTCCAATTCAAACATAGATTCTAATCCAACCTTCAACAACCTTCATCCGAGTTGAAACCAATTTGGATTAGAGGTTAGGTTTGAATTAGAGGAGTTCGAAGGAAAAAGAGGGCTCCATTGAGAAAGAAGGAGAGTGAAGTAGAATAAAGAATCGTATTGGATAAATGTTGGAAGAAATATTGAATTAGGAGAGGTTGAAAAGAAAGAGGAATTTTGATAGGTCAATAGGGTGAAAGAAATTTTCCAAAAAATAAATAAAATTTACAGTTCGCGAAAAAATGGCTTTATTATCATCAGATAATAAGTTAAAATACCATATTGATACTAGAGCAGAATAAATATCATATTAAAAAATAGATAATAAGTTAAAATGCCATATTGATACTAGAGCAAAATAAATACCATGTTGAAAAAGAGAGTCGAATCAGAATACTAATCTGGTAATTTAGCCTATTTTAAAATAGATGTTAAAGCTGTACCTAGTCAATAATCTACCGTGCCAATAAATCCCTTGCGCATAAACATTCAATTAGTCACTGAAATGTTTCGAAGGTTTTATTTCTTACCTTAAAATCATAATGACAAGACCTGTGAAAAAAGAATTATAATGTTCAAATCTATGAAGGATCACAAAGGTGGAATAGATAGAGAAAAGGAGTCACCAATCAAATTCCTATTGCCTCTGAGCCAAAAACATATCATATTGTATTTTATGGAATGTAACATATTATAAATAACATATTATATTATATTAATTAACTATAATATAATATTAAATAATATAATATATTAATATAATATAATATGATATAATATAATATATTTACTGATATATTCTAATAACATAATATAATATAATATATTAAATTAAATCAATATGATATATTATATATAAGATTTTATATTATTATGCTAAGTATATCAATAGAATATAACATATATTATTAATAACATTAATTTCAATACAATAAGTAATATAATACTAATTTTTTGTAGCAATACATTTTAGTAAATTATAAATATATTATATTATATTAATTATTACAATGTGTTGTTATATATTTTATAAATTTTTCTTCAAATTTAATAAATTAACACAATAAAATATTGTATGACAAAATATTTTACAATAAAAATATATCATATTGTATTGGGAAAATTGTATCAATGCCCCAAAAGCAATATTTGCATGTGCTACAGCCTTTTCACTTTTTCCCAATGTGGTTCAGCCTCAAGAAGTGTCACATCATGTGCTGCTGCCCCTTTTTAGCAATTATTACCCGTAAACTAAGCATAGAGAAAGCATAAAAAGTACAAAACCCTAAAATATCATTATCTCATCTATTCTTTCATGTTAGGTCTATTTAGAGTTCATGTTAGGACTAATTTCATGTTGAGTCTATTTAGAGTTTATGATAGGTCTAATTTTATATTAGGTCTATTTACAGTTCATGTTAGGTCTAATTTTAGTTCATGTTAAGTTTAATAATAGTTCATGTTAGGTCTAATTTTAGTTCATGTTAAGTCTAATTTCAGTTCATGTTAGGTCTAATAATAGTTCATGTTAGGTCTAATTTCAGTTCGTGTTAGCTCTAATAATAGTTCATGTTAGCTCTAAATTTTGTTCATGTTAAGTCTAATAATAGTTCATGTTAAATCTAATTTCGGTTCATGTTAGGTTTAATAATAGTTCATGTTAGGTCGAATAATAGTTTATGTTATGTCTAATTTCAATTCATGTTATGTCTAATAATAGTTCATGTTAGGTCTAATAATAGTTCATGTTAAGCCTAATAATAGTTTATGTTATGTCTAATTTCATGTTAAGTCTAATAATAGTTCATGTTAGGTCTAATTTCATATTACGTCTAATTTCAGTTCATGTTAAGTCTAATAACAGTTTTTGTTAGGCCTATTTTTATGTTAAGTCCAACTTGATTTGTGTTAAGTCTAAATTCAGTTCATGTTAAGTCTAATAATAGTTTATGTTAGGTCTAATTTACTTCATATTAAATTCCTTTTAAGTCTAATTTACTTCATGTTAAATCTAATTTGAAATTAGACCTAACATGAACTATTATTAGACCTAACATGAAATTAGACTTAACATGAATTATTATTAGACTTAACATGAACTATTATTAGATAAAACATGAACTGAAATTAGACTTAACATGAACTATTATTAGACATAAAATGCACTGAAATTAGACATAACATGAACTATTATTAGAATTAACATGAACTGAAATTAGCCCTAACATGAACTATTATTAGACCTAACATGAAATTAAACTTAACATAAACTCTAAATAGACCTAACATGAAATTAGACCTAACAAGAACTCTAAATAGATCTAAAATGAAAGAATAGAGAAAATAAGGACATTTTGGGGTTTTGTATTTTTTATCATTTCTCTATGCTTGGTTGTCTGGTAATAATTGCTAAAAGAGGGCTGTAGCACATGATGTGACACTTCTTAAAACTAAACCACATGGAAAATAGTGAAGGGGCTGCAGCACATGAAAATATTCTTTTGAGACATTGACACAATTTTCCCTATAGTATTTTATGAAATATAACATATTATAAATAATATTTTTATATTATATTAATTAACTACATTAGCTACAATATAATATTAAATAATATAATATATCATATTAATATATTAGAAATATAATATATAATATTATAATATATTTGATGATTTGACCGACCCCCGATCTTGTCATGACATTTGCTCATGTTTCATAAGTTCAAGCGCTATTTGGTTAGCATCTCTGAGCTATCTGGTTAAAAGCTTTACAGTATATTATATTAAGTACATTATATTACGATAAAATATTTATTATGTAATATAATATAGTATATTATAATATATTTTATCATATGTTTTACATCCTATGGAAATTTAATAAGTTAAATTATTATAAGATATTATAATAATATAATACAATATAATATAATAGAATGTAATATAATATAATATAGTATATTAAATCAAAATCAATATAATATATTATATATAAAATATTACATTAAGTTAATAGTATTTTATAATGAATTATTGTTATGGAGTTCCCATTTCGCCAAAGCGCAATTCATTTTTCAAGCAACGAACATGTGTACTTCTGCATACAATGCCTCAATTAACTTAGTGGCCCAGGCCCATCGAGGATTCCGACTTAGCCGACATGTCGAGTCGATAATCCTTCATGTCGACTCGAAAGACGGTACCAGTCGACCCTCTTGTCGAAGATGACTCGCTAGGAGTCCACTCGACTATTGTTTAACGCCTCACGAGGACGACTCGATAGACGTTACTTCCCAGCGAAGTTAAAGGATAACGTCTGCCTCGGGCCTCTCTCACTGGCAACATGTCAACATCACATTTAATGCATGATAGATGCATCATGCCTCTAGCCCTGATCGCCTTCATGACTCATCGGATTACGTAGGGGCACCGCCATGCCACCACTCACTTCTCGTTTAATCCTGAAGTGATCCTTCCCTCATTCATCAGCCGACACCTGTAAAATAGATGCTGACTCAGCCGCTAGCCCATATTTCGTCGCCGCCAGCCCACACTTCGCCACTGCCATCCTGCAGTCAGCCGAAGTGACAGATCTACCTTTATACCCTAGGTATAAATAGATGTACTATTCTATCTTTATAAGGGGAGAACAAATCTGTAGGATACAAAAAAAATCTGATCTCTAAGCAAATATACTACACACACAAAGAACTTTCACAGTTCTTATTTACCCTACTCGAATTCACCAGCTAACTTGATCATCAGAGGTACAACGGGGGAACCAAGTCCCGTCCTTTTACGAATTTCTACACATGAATATTTTTCAGACACCCAACTCAAGAACCAGATATAAAGTCGGAGAAGAAAGCAACCCTTCACCAATCCTCAACAAACTCATCCTTACACAGATACATATTGACTGTGTGATCACTTAACATCAACAATTATATTAAGAATGATTAATATATTGTACTACGTATATATTAAATATTATATTCCTAAACTCAAAACACAACACAAAACTCAAAAGGCAACTTTTTGATATTTTCATACAAGTGTCTTATTTTTGCTTTTTGCTCTAAGTGTTTTGTTTTTCCAAAAAATCACAATGCTATCGTGTTTTTATTTTGGCAAAAAAAAAAAAAAAAAAAAAAAATTTTGGAAAAAAAAAAAAAAAAAAAAAAACACCATGGTTACTAAACACTCTCTAAGAAATTGTGTTTAAAACGACTGAACTCCAAAAATATGTATGCACAAAACATTATTTATGCCTTGAATTGTTAACATCTAATTACGTTACGCATATACATATTTAAACAAGAAGTATATTATCTAATGTGATAATATAACAAATTTGACCTAAATTTATTTTAGCTTTTTAAAACTGTTTGATGGTAAATGAATAAAGATTCATGAAGTAGCCACTAATGAGTTTTGCAACATAATGTGAGCGCCAAATGTGAACAAATTCATATTTGGCAAGAAGAGATTGATTGAGCAAAAGTAGATTAAAAACAAGGAAGAGGCAACTCATGCAACTACACTTTCGGGGAACATAAACATCACTAAAACAGCACATTTATCATCAAAACAACAGCGACAAATGCACACATAAAAAGAGGACATACATAAGTAATTTTCCAGTTAATTTCCTAATTTCAGGCTCATTACTTTAGTTTTCCTTGACCATGTATTTCTCAAGTTATTTTCCACCTATTTCTCCAATCACAAACATAACAACTTCATCCACATTAACTAACAAATAAACAAGGAAACCATCCCAAAATATCTCCAATTCATTAGAATCCCCAAATAAAAGTACCCAATAAAGCTACATGATTTTGGATGTAAGAACCTAAAGATGGAAGTCTAGTAAATATATCAGTTATCTTTATGTTATGTTTCTCCCTGTTATACTGTATACACAAAAGCTCTCAACGCCTTGATCGCCTTCTCCTAACAGGTCTGAACCATTTCAACCCGTTAGCTCGCCTGGACCCATTCTTTCTGAGCTCATACCCAATACTGTGCATGTCTTCACAAATTTCATGCCTCGAAAGAGAAATCATACCTGGCAAGATTTCCTTTTGGAAATCTCGAATCCTCCCTCTCCCCCTTTTTAGCTTGTGAACCCTGGTTGCATTGTCTCCAGCATTTTCCTCCACCTCTATCATTTGTGTTAAGTGATCGTTGCTTATAACCTCGGGTAGCTCTAGTGTCATTGTCTCAAAAGTATCAGTGGAGTATTGAGGTTCATCTTTCTTATTCTCAGTGGTATCATATTGCTTAATTGGGGATGCCGATGATGAGGCTAAACAAATACCAGAAAGTATCTCCGCAGCATTAACAACTGCACGATCTTGATCATGTTGATGTTCGTTATAGAATGTTTTCTCTAGTGAACTTTCAACAGCCATGTTATCTAATTGTGTAGTTCCAGAAACTTCCTCCACAATTTTCGAACTGCATTCAGTGCTTTCATTAAGATCATTGGATTTGATTCCAGAGAGAGATTTTTCATTGCGTCCATCTTGAGGTACATTGACGTCTTCAGATGAAAGGGCCGTTCTTCCTGCATCATTTGGTAATTCTCCATTAGAATCACTAGAGAAGCCTTCTGCTGATTTTCTACAGCATTCAGTTATGCCTGTGGAGTTGGATGCCTGAATTTGATCGAAATCTGAAATATTTGACCTCTGTGAATCTTGGCAGAGAGGAAATAACCAGTTGGTGCTCTTTTGGACTATGGATGAGGTTGAGGATGGAGATGAATATGTAAGTGTAGGATCATTGAGAGAATGAGAAGATTCATCATCTTGAGGAATATTAAGGTCAATAAGGATTGGTTTGGATGAATTAGGTTCTTGTTTATGGGTTGAGTTAGTAGATGTATTCACAAGACCGGGAACACTTGATTCACTACCTCCTGCAAAAAATACATAGCCAATGAGAAGAAATTTAGGATATGCAATAACATATTACTTGCATAGAGTATGAATACACTGCAGAGTATAAGATCTAGCAATGATATCATTGACTAATCGATGAAGAGTTTACTTTCCAATAAGAACAAAGAAAAGGACTTCTCTGCAACATTCTTATCAGCTTCAGCAAGACAAGCTTAAGTGTCACACTGGATAGAACTACGTAAATGAGCCGGTTTAGTAATATCCAGAGAGTCCTCAGTCATCCCACC